AAACAAACCGACCCCACCCAAGACCACCACCGAATTAACCACCCTTGCACTCGACCAGACAATATAACCAAATTTGGTTGGCAAATGTGGCGGTATTATGAACCTCACCAACTACATCTGGCGTACATGACATAACATCTCTCAGTCTGAAGCAGTCTCATCCCTTTTCTCTGCATTATCAGAAGGCTTCTCATCTTTGACGTCGTCTTCCTTCGTTTTCTCTTCAGTTTTTTCCACGCTCTTCTCTTCTGACTTCTTATCTTCAACACTCAACTTCTCAAGTAGGCCAGCAGCATTAGATGCATCCTCATTTTCATCTTTCTTCTTTTGTGATTCAGCAACCTCTTGAAACGTCTCCATGAAGGTCTTGCAATCTATAAGAAACACATTACCGTAAGACATCATTTTTGCTGAAAATAAAAAAGAAAAAACACAGAGGCAGGCAACATAAAAGAATTAGGGACATGATCATGTATACTATCTTTTTGAGAAGGATGATCATGTATACTACTAATCTACAACTTCCTCAGAATCACTTCTACTAACCCCCTCTTTCCATCCAGTGTTTGACAAACCTCCAATCATGGGCAATTTTCTAATCCTTTAAAAGTAATTAACTCCAATATTTGAGNACTCCAATATGTTGAGTGGAACTGCAATGATGACCAAGTTGAGGGATCTAAAAGACCTGGTAAAATAAAAGGTTACCTCACACCCGGGTAGGTTCACTCCACACCTTATAATCCAGTATTCCTTTTTGACAATTTATAATGCAAAAGTCCTCAAGTCCCTAAAGAGCAATCTCTCTCAAGTAGATAAGCATGTTGCAGTATTAACCATGATCTTTTAGCAAAACTCGATGAGGTCATTGGGATTCTAGAGAGAAGTCAAAGATCAGTTAACTCTCAACACTAACACATACCTCAATCAAGACGATATGATGCAAAGGTTCTCAACAACCTCATTACGCAACAAAGATCAATTGCTTTGGTCAGGTTCCAGTAGTTTAGAGAATCATAAATGATGGCTCTTTAATGAGTTCCCATACACAAGACGTTATTTCCTTCTAAGGCTGTGCATCCAATTTTGCAGTCTAATGATTTAGGTTCAAAATTAATGAAGGCCTGCAATGACATCGTTTCAGGAATTTGGCAATTTCGGGGCAATAGCAGAGGGCAGAAGCAAGGGGTCTACTAATACATACAGTTATTACTTGTTCCCATCATTCCCCTCTTCCCTTAGGCCAACCTAGCTTACACCGTAGGACCTTAAAATCTTAATATGTGGAGTAAAAGCAGGAGCACACAATTTTGGGAAAAGAATTCAATTCAGACCATGACAAAATTTTAAGATAAAGTAATACTATAAAGAGAATAAAAAACAACAGAACAATTGAGCACAAAACAAAGGCATAAGATAATATGTATAATGCCACTTCACAAAATAAGGCACAAAACCAGTTCAAGGTCTGGTTTGTTTTTTCTTCTTACATCAGCAAAGCTGTGGATCTACTGTTTAGGAGGGCATAATAAGGCATGGGAGTGACCGGACTGGTAATGTAACGTAAGTCACAAGAGAGACAAACTATCACGCACACAATGTCGAGCAGTAAAATTTGGACATCTAAAATTTTGGGTTAGCACTTGAGTTTAGAATTGGAAAAGAATACAAGGTATTCATCAATCCCTAGTATCTGCATTCAACCTTCATACAACATTTTACTCTTCCAAGTTCTATTCAAGCTTGATCTTGGTTTCAAAAGGCAAGGACACAGGGTGATACTTTTATCATATGGTGAGGCATAGTCCATGACATCACACTTACAGTAAAGAAAAATATATCAGGCACAATCCATAGTAGATTGACAGACACTCTACTTCATGTGTAAATTATTTGATTCTACATCTTGACATTACAATTAGCAAGGCGTTATTATAGATGTATCCTTCTATACTTTTTTCGAGATGTTATCCCGAGCCTGCGTGAAAGTGGAATGCTTCGCACACGGGCATGCCCTTTTTTTAAATTAAAAAGAGAATCCTCCTATACTTTTTTTTACGAAGATGTGGAAACCTTCTAAACTTGATTGATCTCAATACCATTAACTGCAACTATCACTTGATTTAAGTCTACAACCAGAATAGGCACACATTACAACATTCCATATAGAAAATGAAATTTTCTCCAAACAAAATAACAATAGGGACCAGGGAAGCTAGATAATGACTAGCAATCAAGAGATAAAGTCAATCATGAAGAAAAGAAATTTCAAATTTTGGCAAATTGAAAGCTTCACCAAACAAACAAGACCCTAAAATCTAGCAGAAAGTGACAGTAATTCAGAGTTCGAAATTCTCACTCTCGATGGACGCAAATCTAATACAAAAAAATTCATCCTTCAATTCACCATCAGCAAAATCTGCTGCATGCCACACACAGGACTTCTCACTTCCAGCATGTTCCTGAACCGTCATTGTCGGAATAACTGAACCATATAATACAGCAAATTCATGAGATCAGAGTCTATGTTACAGATCTCAACCAAACGAAACACATAAATGAATAAATCGATATTAATAATGCACAAAAAAAAGTCATAAAGTGAATATTAATAGACAAACCTAGATGATTAACACAGATCTTAAGAGTCTTAGATTGGCGCATAACAAGGCGAACTTTTCCAGTCTCCTTATGTTTCAAAAACTTAACAGTACCAGCACCTCTCTCTTTCCACTGATTTCCATCTTTATCGAATCGATAAAGCTTAGCTTTCCTGTATAACGATAAATTTACTTTACATTAACCCTACAAATTGGAGCAGATCGATGTAGGCAACAAATAATAAACACGATATGAGAGAAATTGAATAATTACAAATCGAGGATAGCATCTTCGTCCTCTTCGCCAGTTATTACGGCTACTTCCTCCAGTCTGACGATCGGCGCGACCTGAGCTCCGGTATCTTCGTCATCGGCTCCGGCAGCGGCTTCTTCCTCTTCTCTGTGCTCGTGCTGGGGCTCTATGCTTGCCATTGTTTTTGTACGGATGCTGTGTTTCTTCACAGAGAGGTTTTGTAAAGAGAGAAAGAGAGTGGGATATTGGGGAATAGGAAGAAAGGTTTATATAAGATTTGAATGCGCAGCGTGAACCCAACGCAGCAGACGGCAAAACAAAACTTGGGTCGGCAAGCCCAGATTTATCCATTATTCTATATTATCACATTATTCTATATTATCAAGGTACACAACATACGTCTTGAATATTTTAAAAATATTAGAGTTACGAATGCGCGTATATATATATATATATATGCGCAAATACCCTGCATCAACGGGTATAAACTTTATAAATTATATAAACATTATTAAATAATATAGTTGAGTTATAAAATAAAATTTAAAAATATAAGCTCTTAAAAATGACGAATATTAATCCAATTTAGTTAGCAAAAATAATTTTGATAGCCTAAAAAACTATTATTTATACTTATTTCATTTTAACTTTGAATGAAAATAATTGTCTAGGTAATATGTTTTCTAGACAGGACAACTAGAGAAAATAAAAAAAAATGACAAATAAATTATGTAGCTAAAAGGAAAATATTCATTGTTGAGTAGAATTTAGCTATAGGTTTGTGATGGATCCTATTAGCTAGGAGACGAACTTCAAAGCTAATTCCTATTTCTTAAAGTAAAATAATGTAATAAATATTTTTTTTTATCAAAAAAGTCCTTTTCGTCTAGTTGATGGAAATATGTAACAATAATAATAACCACCCAATATAATCCTATTTAGTGGGGTTTGGAAAAGGTAGTGTGTACGCAGACCTTACCCCTACCCTAGGATAGAGAGGCTGTTTCCAAATAGACCCTCGGCATCCTTCCTTCCAAGAACTTCCCACCTTGCTCTTGGGGAGACTCAAACTCACAACCTCTTGGTTGGAAGTGAAGGTTGCTCTTGGTTGGAAGTGAATATTGTTTACTATCATAGCAACCCCTCTTGTCTGGTTGATGGAAATATGCATTACAGTAAATTAAGGTATTGCCTTGGAAACAAAGTGTTTTAATTTAGTATTTTTTTATATTTATTCTAGGTAAATTTTTTAATTATCTTAAAGTCCTAAATATAAGGACTCTTAATTCAAATAAGCGAAGATTTAAAAATAATAAATTTGATTTGATTTAAACACCTAAATATTAGCTAGGAGAATAATCAAATAACTATTTTGTCTAATGCGAACTCTAATTTAAAAGGATAAAAAATGTGAACGATATTTCGCTAAGGACACTTATGCTTTTAATATAGTATAGATAGATATGATTAGTCTTTTTTTTATTGTTCTAGCAATAAATTCAATCTTGTATCCACAGATGAACACACCATGCCACCTACATGCACTTCTAATACTCCTTCAGTTTTAATTTATATGTTATAGTCTGATTGGATACGAAATTTAAGAAAAGTAAAAAAAAGATTTTTGAATCTTGTGATTGTAAAATAAAGATGTATAACGTATCAAATTCTTTGAATCTATTAGTTTTATGCCATGTGAAATGATGAAGTTAAATAGTTACAAAATATAAAAAGTTTTTTCTCAAACAAACTAAAAAGAAAACTATAATAAGACACATAAATGTCAATGGAGGCAGGAATATTTATTCCGCAAAGCACTTATTAACCTTTAAAATAGACGGCACAAATCATTAGGCTGGAATGTAACTTCATTACATTGGATTGATGAAATTAATTGAAGACCTGAATTCTAATCGCAAAAAAGGGATAATTTCGGAGGATGTAGGTATCGTGTGCCAATCAAATAGTCTAGTTAATAAATTGCTTGATTTGTATAAGGTAAATTTTAATTGATTTGGGTATCCTAAATATTAGGATTTTTACATAGTAATTCAAAAAAGGCAAATATTTAATTGATTTTAAGGTGCTAAGTATTAGGGAAATGAAAAAATTAGTATTTTGTTTAATGTAAACTCTATTTTAAAAGGGGAAAAAGACGAATGACATTTCGTTAAGGGCCTTCGTGCTTTATATATATATATAAGCTAGAAAATAAAATTAAAAAAAATCTAAACTCTTAAAAATAAGAATATTGGTCTTATTTAATCAATAAAGTAGAAAATGTCCTAGCAAAGCATGAAAATGACCTAGATAGTTTTGGAAGCTCAGTGATCTATTATGTATCACTTTCATTGGTTTTAATTTCGTATCAACATGTATTAACAATGTATTCTACATAGGTCAGCTACAAAAAGAAAACGTATTAGCAATAAGCAAATTATGTAGTTAAACAATAAAAATTCATCGCAAATCTTATTTCGTGACAAATTAGCGACAATATTAACGATTGCTATTTTTCAACAATAATTACTATCTCAAAATATAATGGTAGATATTTTTTTGTAGCAACATTCATATTAAAGAATAGGAGGAAAAAAAACGGATTTAATAACCAAACTTTTAAAGAAATACTTATCATTTCAATTTTAAGAACAACAAATAGTTCATATCAATAAAAAATAAAGAGGTAAATTGGTCTTGTAAATACAAGAACAAAGAAAAACAGTACACAAGTCGCGGAGTTTCCTTATTGGTGTAAGTATATGATTTTTGTGAATTTAAAGTACATATTAAATTTGGACATCTTCCTAGATTCAAGAAATAACAGGTCCAAATTAAATTTAATTATCTAAGTCCATAATGGATTTAATTAAAAATCTAATTTTATTTGGGCCAATTCATTTAGTTGGACCGTAAAAGATGAGCCCATTTTACTAGCCCAAGGTCCAAATGGCTGGTCTTAAAGCTTAGACTCATGCCACATGTCAAGTAATGTGGCAATTCAAGCTAAATAAATGAGCCAATAAAATCATGACGTGTGTCAAGTGATGCGACAATCTAAGCCAAATAAATGAGCCAATGAAATTATGCACTGTGTCAAGAAAGGGTGGCATACCAAGTCAAATCAACAACCAATAGAGTTGTGTCAAGTATATAGATGGTATTTAGCGGTTCGAACGGACCAATCAAATCACAGAGCCACACCACTTCCTACAACTATAAATATAGGTCTACATAAAGTTAGAAGACACCAGAAGTGATAACAAGAAGCAAGCAGCGAGCTCGTGGATCGAACACCGCAGATTTTTCACAAGATACAAGTTCAAGCACTCAAGCTACAAGTTCAAGTTTAAGTTCAAGATCAAGAACGAAGGCAAATCAAATACCAAGGCGTTCGAGATCAGATTACTTGTTCGTGATCAAATTCAAATTCAAGTTCAAGAAGAAGAATCAATACAAAGTTTACAAGCTCTTGAATCAAAATCAAAATCAAGTTCATCAAGATAGTTTATATTCTTAAAGAATCAGAGGAATGCTATAGAGATTGTAACACTCAATATTTATTGAAATCAAATACTACATTTGTTGCGCAATTTTTCAGTCTTGATTATTTATTTTTCTTCTCGACGCGAAAATTTGTTCTTACAAATTTCTGGCACGCCCAGTGGGACCATCTCTACCTCTCATCTCTTCAAATTACCAAATTTCAAGAACACTGAAATGGCTCCTAAGAAGATCAATTTCAAACTCACAATTATTAAGGCTACGGATTTCAAGTTTTCCTTTGATGTTGAAAACTTGCTGGATGCTACCATGGAAAGCGTAGGACCAGTCACCATGAATAAAACAAACTTGCTGGGACAAAAAGCATTTCAAGTGCCGTCTGCATCAGTTCCTATCTTTGATTTTCGATCCTCAAATGGGGCAAGATCATTTTCAACTAAATTAGAAGAAGGAGTGAACATTGCTGAAATTGTTGAAAAGATATTGGCTCTACTTAGCCCATCTAGATCTAAGAATCTCATCATATGAGATGAAGATGATATTTTGATCACTGAATCTACTCTAATCACTCCATGTGAGTTGTTCCACTCAAAGTATGATAGAAGAGAAAATCCATGCTTTGCTCCACCATTCACGACGGTTATCCAAGCAACATCGACTAACACTTCGACTGTTGAAGAACAACTCACAAATTTAACAAAGTCTATTAAGGGTTTAACGAAGCATATGCACGATCAAGATAATCAAATTGTCAAGCTGACAGATAGAGTTGAAAGCATGATGGAGAGAGATTCAAGTCATGCACCTAGAAAGCTCTCTATGATGTAAGATAAAGGAGACTCATCTGCAAGGCAGACAACGACTCCTAAAGAACTTCAGATTTCATCTGACGGGGTTATTCCCATTGACCAATTGAAAGACTTCATCATGGGAACCATCAAAGATAAATACGATGTTGTTTATAAGTCTTCTCTCGCATATGTGATGTCATACACTGCGAGAATTGATAGTTTGAAGATGCCTACAGGTTATCAACCCCCAATATTTCAACAATTCGATGGTAAATGAAATCCAAAGCAACACATTGCATATTTCGTCGAAACTTGTAATAATGCTGGAACTATGGAGATTATCTTGTCAAATAGTTTATCCGTTCTTTAAAAGTAAATTCTTTTGATTGGTATACTGATCTCGAGGCTGGTTTCATCGATAGTTGGGAGCAACTTGAACATGAATTTCTCAATCGAATCTATAACACAAGACGAACTGTAAGTATGGTTAAACTCACAAACATGCGTCAATGGAAGGATGAGTCGATCGATGATTTCATCAATCGATGGAGGAATGCAAGCCTAACTATAAATACAGACTTGGTGAAGTTTCTGAAATAGAAATGTATATCCTAGGAATGCATTAGGGACTTCGCTACATCCTATAGGGTATCAAGCCTAAGTCTTTTGAAGAATTGGATACACATGCTCATGATATGGAGTTAAGCATGTCAAGTGGAAATCAAGGGCTACCTGTTTATGAACCTCGCAAAGTGAAGGATAGACAAGAAATAAAGAAAGGAGGCAAGTTTGTGCCGAAGTTTGAGAGCAGCGAATCAATAAATGTTAATGCCTCGCCATTAAAGGTCATTACAAAAGTGAGTAAGAAACAAAGTGTGAAGAAAATGTCCTTACAGGATAAAGTTGGCCGAAAGCTAACTCTGAATGAAATGAAAGTGAAAGAATATCCATCTTGGATTCTGATGTTCTAGCAATTTCTTAAG